ATATATATATATATATATAGGAGAAAATATTATTTTTCATTTATAGACGAAAGGCAAACGGAGGTACGCATTACGACGCGCGTGTCGGCGATATATACCTGACAAGGTCGCAGTTCATTACGATGCAAATTTATGTCAATAGCGGAGAAATAAGTATTCGCCACGCGAGCGATTTACGATATCTCTTATCGACGGGCTCTCACGAACGGCTTATCTATCTTCAGAACGTTCGGAACGCATTCCGTGTTATCTCCGATTAGAATCAGCTTTAAACGCTTTATCTTCGTTATCTCGACCGAGGTAACTCTTGCCACAGTTTCGATTACGTTAATTACAAATTTGTTAAAACTTTATTACACTAATACCTTTTTAGTACCATTCTGTACAATTATATTTATATTTCAATTGTTAACGTTACAACTCTATGTAAATTATTATATACTCGGTATCCACATTCACTTTTCAACGTTTCCGTGCAAGTTTATGAAGTCGGAGAAATTTTGTAAGAGCACTTGAATAGGAAAATAATAACGCATTATTGTGTTGAAGCTGTTCTCTCTCTCTCTCTCTCTCTCTCTCACTCCCTTTCGCGAAGAGAGCTCGCAGTCTCGCGCGCACAGCAAGTGGATTTTCATCTCTCGCTGCTCGTTCGCGCGAGAAGAGCCTGCGTCGTGAATACCGTTACACGCTGCGAAGAAATGGTCGGTACACGCATTACGAGACGAGACGAGACGAGACGCGACGCGATGCGATGCAATGCGAACCGCGAGGCAGGAGCACGTTCGCGTTGCTCGCGCGAGGAGAGCGACGGCGAGATCGTCGTGTTATCAATCGCCGATATCGCCGAAGCGCGTTCCAAAGGCCGGTTGCATTGCACGGACGACGTCGGTTAATCTCTAACCGCGATTAAACCGCGCGAGTGGCCGAGCTCGAGTCTACGAAAGCCAGAATGTCTCTAGCATAATTTGCTGACCAAAGTATCCGGTTGCTTGGAAAATAATGGCCGATCCATTTGCCTTGAATCACTTATTTCA